CCTGTTCGCGGACGTCCTTTCCCGGCCTCGGCTACCCCCCCCCCCCTCGCCCCCCCGTCGAGCAACGCGTCTGAAAAAGAGGATGATTGCCGCCGAGTCGCGCGGAGCAAGCACTCGGGAGGAGAAGGCGCACCGCGCGGTCCGCGAAATAGTCGCGCACCCATACCGAAACAGTGATGGTTACAACAAAAACAACAAAAAACGACGGTTCGCACTTCGGCTTGATGACTTGTTAGGAAAGACCTCTGCTGCCCCCTGCAGCTAGCTGCACGCCTCCCCTGACATCTGACATCGAGAGAGCCGCGAGCGGCGAAAGACAATTAAGTGAGGCTCACTCTTTATTTTTACTAAAATACTTATAGTATTTATATGGATTTTTTTTAAATTATGGCGTCTGAAAGGGTTCCACTCTTTCCCCGTCACCCAACAAAACCGTTCGGTGGGTGTGTTGGTTGCAGCTGGTGTCACGTCGGGGAATGCAGTACGAAACAAGGCAAAAGTTAGTGGCAAAAGTTAGTGTGAAGCAACTTAGCGCAGCCATCATCAGTCAGTCGCGCGCGATTGCGAGGCGACGCAAAGCAGCGCGGAGGGAGAGGAGGGGGACGACGAGGCCGTCAGCGCAGCTTCTGGATAATGGAGAACGAGAGAGAACAACCAAGCTTGGCGGCACTGCGCGGCACGCGGTACACTCTGCTCTTGTCGAAAATTCGCCAAAGTAGTCTTTGGCAGTGTGTAAACTCACCGGCGGTGGCGGCTGGGTGGAGAAGAGCAGCAGGCCGCTAGGGGTGGGCGAGCCCGTGTAGAGCGGGCCGTTGGGCACCTGGCGCGTCAGCCAGCGGCTCACCAGGCGCTCCTTGGAGCCGCTCGAGTAGAGCCCCGACACGGAGTGCAGCGAGTCCGGGGAGCCACCCGAGCTCCTCTGCAAAGGGACACAAGTACGGCGTCAGGAAACCTTTTATTTTTCCGATAACCCGAGGGATTTTAAGTTTAGAAAATTTTCCACTCTCCCAGAAAAAAAATTAAAGTATTCCAAGATAAATTGGAAAAATATCAAACTTCAGAAAAAACTGAAAGAAATTTTGTGAAAAATTCCTGAGACATTACAAAATTAAAAGAAAAGAAAACAGATGTTGACGTGTACCTGGTTGTAGAGCGGCGAGTGCTTCCGCGACGTCCGGGCGGCACACGGGCACACGAGCCGGTAGCAGCGGTAGCCGCTGGCGATGGCGGCCAGGAGCTGCAGCCCCGCGGCCAGGAGCAGTCCGCACGAGGCCAGCACGCGCTCCCAGTGGCTGGAGCCGGGGCTGGACCGGGGCTCCTCCTCCTCGGCGTCCTGGAGGGAGCAGAGAAAGGAGCGCGATGAGAATGACCGCACTAGGAGGAAACATGGGGGGAGGGAAAGAAGTGTTTCACATAATCTCCTCGCCGCACCACCGCCAGCCAGATCCAACGCCCGGTCCATTTCGCGCACCGCGCGCGCCCGGAACTTTTACCGGACATGTGCTGTGCTGTGCGCCGGAGTACCGCACCGCTCAACGCCACGCCACGCCACGCCACGCCAGGCCCGCCACGCCACGCCACGCCACGCCACGCCACGCCACGCCACGCCACGCCACGCCAGGCGCCTTTGCTTTCTTTTCTCGCGCCGCTCTCATCAGCAAGGGCCCACAACTCTGCAAGAAGGGCGGGGCGGGGCGCGGTGGGGGAGTCACGTGGGGCGATCGCACACAGGAAGTACGTGTTGTGTGCGGCGTGGCGTGGCTCGGCGTGGCGCGGCATGGCGTGGCGCGGCGCTCTGGAGTGTAGAGCGATCAATCTACGCGCGGCCAGGCCGGCCGGGGCCCGCTGGAGGCTCCAGGCCGGTGCGGCGCGGGGCTGCACGTCGCCCGCAGCTGCAGCAGCATGCTTCGTGCTCGGGCTCGTTTGCGTGCGCCCGGGCCCGGCCGCACCTTACATTCTCCCACACTTCTCTAGCCGCCGTCGCCATCCTGGTCCGGTACGTTTTTTGCATCTATTTTGCAGCACCAGGGGGAGACTTACCCGTGGCAAAAAAATAAATGAAATTGTTTGATAAATATTTTGTTTTGACTCACCTCCTCTTCCCGCAACAGCTGGATGTCTGGGGTGCGCGCATCCCGGACGAGCCCGATGGCGGCCAGGACGAGCACCAGGTTGGAGACGGCCAGCGCGACGAGCGACAGCGCCATGAAGACGGTGGGTGCGATGGGCGGCCGGCCCGAGCCCGAGCCGCCGCGCACCGAGCTGGAGTAGCAGCTGCGCAGGCCCGCGATCACCCCGGCCACTCCTGCGGGAGGGACAGAGAGCGAGGGAGCGTGAGCAGTGAGCATGCGTAAAGAACGGAGTAAGGTAGGCAAGCCCGTCGCACAGCCCCGTCCTGCGGGCGGAGGCATTGCCTACCCCGCAGGCGCTCCGCTTCCACCATCGGGAAGCTCCTTCGTGATGTTGCTGCCGACAACTCTTTCGGTTATACGTCGCGGGGATCCCCCCGTCTACTGCAAAGGTCCTTGACACTGGAGTAAAGCAAGAGACCCGCAAAGGCAAAAGAGAACGACAATAATACCCCCCTTATCCCTTTCCGGAAGCGGTACCCCTCAGAGACGAGTCAGTGATGATACTCCCACTCAAAATAATTATCACCCCGTAATTAGTGGGCGTTTAGAAACAACTAACAGAGCGGTGCAGCAGCGGGGCTCGGCGGGGCGGGGGAGTCGCGTGGTGACAATGGGACCGTGGGAGCACGGCTAGTCCCCCCCCCCCCCGCTCCCTCGGCCGTCCAGCACGGTGGGCGATCATTACTGCATCAGTCACCGCCAGAGCCGGGGGGCAGCGCAGCGCGCCGCCGAGGAGGACGAGGAGGGAGCGGAGCAGGACAGAGATAAGACGTTTCATCTCGCGACTTACCAGACACAAAACTGATGGCGCCGCCCCAGACGCCGGCGCCCACGCTCGCCATGGAGGCCCGGTGCAGCATGGCGAGGACGCCGAACACGACCATGAGGATGCCGAGCAGCGCTTGGACGCAGCCCAGGAAGAGGAAGGCGTTCTCGTCGCTGGTGCTGCCGCGACCCCCGCGTCCCGAGGACACGTCCGAGACCGTCGTGGTGGTGGACGTGGCGTCGAGGCCGCGGTGGTGCGGGGCGCCCTGGACCGGGGCCGGGCCGAGCAGCAGGCCGTCCAGGGAGCGTGTCTTGAGCGAGGAGGCCGTGTTGGTTGGACTAGACTGGACGAGGTGCTTGGAGGAGGAGGTTGTCAGCAACGACGAGGTGGTGCCGGGCGGGCTGCTGCTCGGGTGGCTGCCGGGGGGCCCTGGCGGCAGGGCCAAGGCTGCCGACGTCGTGGTGACGCCGCTGGACGCCAGCTTGCCGTCCTTCGGGGAGGACGGCGGCGACTTGGCCACGAAGCCGACCGGCGTCTCCACCGGCGAGGTGCATGCCGTGCAGGGCGCGTCCGAGTCGGCGCTGGTGATGGTGTCCACCGTGCTCATGAGCGAGTCCATGGCGGACGACATGGTGGCGGCGGCGCTGCGCGGCCGCGACCAGGATCCAGTGGTGGCGGTCTGTCTACGGGGCTCGGCGCCGAGGCTGCCTCCTGCGTGGCCTCATCCTCCCCGCACCTGGAACAACAAGAAGACAGGTGTGACATGAAGCAAGTGTCTCATGTCTGGCGAGAGCTCAGTGCAGCGGTCCGGCGCTCGGCCCGGCGCTCGCTTACAGTCGCGGTGATGTACCGTGATTGTGTGAAACGAAACGCATCGCTGGCTTTCCTTCCACCCATTTCCCCGGGCCGCCCCGCCCCTCACCGTCCCCACCGTCCGAGTGCCTCTCCGACCAGCCGTCCGTCTCTCACTGATTAAGCCACACCGTTACTCCGCGGAGCGAGCGGCCAGCATCCTGGAATCTCACGAAGTCTCTGTATTGCGATTGGTACCCGGAGGAGAGGGGTGGGAAGGGTAGGGTAGGGGGGCATAGAATCTGCCGCCAGCAGCGGATCGAGTCCGCCAGGGTAACGATGCGTTAACGAGTGTTAACGCGGCCCGGCCCGGCTCCGGTCCCTATTAGTGTCACCGCCGCGAGCACGGTGCGGTTGGCGCTCCTGCTGCTGCCGAAGCCACCACCGCCGCCGCCGCCACGCCGCGCGGTGCGGTTGGCGGCCCTGCAAGGCCCTTGGTTGCCGCCGCCGCCGTTGTCCTACGCGGGGCTGCGTCAGAGGCACCGTGGCGGGCTCTGCTGGCTGCACTTCCACTCGCTTTTCCTCCCGGCCCGGCCTATGGACGCTCGCGGTCTTCGCCTCTCTGCCGGGCGTGGCGGGGCGGGGCGGGGCACGCGGCCATAAAATCAGCAACACTGGCCACCGGCGGCGGCGGTCTTTTCAAAATGACGCTTTCCTCCTCTTTTGAGGTGGCGGCGGCGCGGCGTACCGCGCGGTGCGCCTCGTTACAGGCCGGCCAGATGATGTTTGCAGAAAGAGAAAGCCCCCCATCCATACCTGCGCAGTGCTGAGCGCGCGGCGGTGCTGAGCGCGGTGGTGCTGAGCGCGGTGGTGCTGAGCGCCCCCGGGGAGACACCACCGTTTCCTCGCGCCGCCCGCGGTGCAAACTCATTGGCCGTGCGTTTCCGCGTTCCCCCCACGCACCGCTGCTTTGCTATGGGAATTCCCTGGATCAAGAAGAGCGGGCGCCGGGAGGCTCCGATGAGCGGGCCGCCTCCGCGGTGCGTGAAGCGAGAACAACGCGTAACACGCACGGCAAAGCGCCGCTCGGGTGGGCGGGAGCGCAGCGGTAGACGCGTGACACTATCAAGTGCGTGGCTAGAGTCTCGCATTCGAAAAAGGTCGATAGTAGGAATGGGCAATCCACCTGATCGAAAATAATTGGCATTCAGTATGTTGGTTTTTGCTTCACATTAAGGTTAACACGTTGGGCCGGATATTAACGCTAGCTCGTTTTGTGGCCTGGTTGCCTGGTTCTCTCGGACGAAGCGCGTGTTTCATCCACATTTTTATCATTGAGTGTCACACGACGACTTAATTTGTCGAGTGGATGCAAGGGGCTCGCGCCAACTCCGGCCAACTCAAGCTGTATAGAGCTGGGGCTCGCTGGGCTGGGCTAACTGGACTAAGAGAGGGAGGGGACAGTGAGGGCACCGTTAAAGTGGAAGGGTTTAATTCAGCGGCTATGGCAGGGCTCCAGAGGGTCGCGGAGCGGACTAAACAGCGCAGAACCTGGCGGAGGAGGAGGAGGTCCTCTGGCGTCGCGCTCTGTCTGCACAGGGCGGCCCGCCCCGCCCCGCCCCGCCTCATAGCCCTTCTTTGCCGACCCATTGATGCATGGCACACGGACCATTGGCTGCGGCGGGCTGCGGTCCCTTGCGCTGCTGACGATGTCGTTGTCGCGGCGACCAAGAAAACTCTCTGGCGAGTGGGAAAAGAAAGAAGAGATAGGCGAACCACCGCAGGGTCATGTCATATGGGATTCGCTGACCCCATTCCTCGCGGGGCTCCGCCAGGCTTTCTCATCGCGGCGGCGCGCGGGGCGGGGCGGGGCGGCTAGGCGAGCTGCACCGCAGCGCAGGGCCGGGCGGGGCGGGGCGGGGCGGCTAGGCGAGCTGCACCGCAGCGCAGGGCCGGCGGAGCCGCGCTGTGCGCCGAGCCGCGTTACCCCGGGGATGCCACCCTCCGCCTGTGGCCACACCCCCTGGAGCTGTTGTACAAAGTCTCGAAATATCGAAGACGATATACCTCGCCTCGGTATCACGACGTTTTGCGATATGCCGTGCTTCAATACTTTTCGATATAATATTCTCGATGTTATTGTTCGATATGTGGTCGACATCGTATCGCGCTCGCGGTGTTGCGATTTAACTGAATTTACCTCCCCCATGGAAAGGAGAAGGCGAGGAGCGCATCTCGGACGGAGCGGGGCTGCTCAAGCTTAGTGAGCTCGCCTAGCCGACGGACGACTCGACGTGTACTGGTCGCTCGACACTGACGAGCAGTGGCCGATTGATTGACGATTGGTGCGGCGGCCGATCATCCCCCTCCGCTGGGTTGGTTGATCGCTGATTGACCGGCCTCGCGCGCGGACAGCGCTGCTCGCTCCGCGCTCCGCGCCGTGCATGCGAGACGAGACGGTGCCTGCCTGGAAGACCGCGCGTCACCACATCATTTCCAAAGATGTTCAATTATTATCGCCTACCATGAGAGTACCTAGTGCTTTGCCACGCACTAATTGCAAAATTCAATTCTTTCGCGGGGTTTGCCGGGTTGGTTAGCATCAAGGGCCAGAGTGTCAACGACCAGCATCCACGATTGGCGTGTCGAGGACCAGCAGCGTCCAGTCGCAAGACGACGAGCAGTCAGATTGGGAGCCCAGCAGGACTATGACGTCCTCGGCCTGCGTCCAGGACTAGGACCGGCGTCCAGGACCGGTGGTGCCCAGTCCACTGTCCAGCACCAGCACACCAGCGTCATGCGGCCGCCGGCCTCGCGGTCGCTGATCCCTATCGCCGCCTCATGTGCGCGGCTATGCGCGAGGCCCGCCGGCCAGGCCAGCTGCAGGCAAAACACGTCACGCGTGCCGCCGAGAGTATACACTACCCTACGTCTGCGACGCTTGAAAATCATCCGTACATGAGTTGGCGAAAGAGGAGAAGCTCTGCTGTCGGCAGAGGTCTTTTCAATTCTGAGGGCGAGCGAGGGAGAGAATCATTTTCTAAGCACGCGCGGGGGGGAAACAAACGACGTTGTTTGAGGGGAACACGCCCTGCTCTGCCCTGAACTGCTGCGAGGGATCAGGGTCGCGGCGGGTCGCGGCGGGCCTCTGCTGCGCGCCGTACGACGGCTTGATGAGGTCAATGAGGGGGGCCCTGGCCGGCGCCCTGGCCTGGCGTGCCGCGCGGACGTCTGGCGACGGCGGCGTTATGGGCCCCGCGTGGCGCCTCGCGGACCAAGCGCCGGACGAGACGGGACAACCAGCCGCAGGAGGGGGTGGGGAGCACCACTGGAGCGCCACACGAGGGTTTTTATAATCCGGCCGTAGAGATAAGCGAGGTAATTAGAGGGGGAATTAAATCCCCTTCCTTATTGAGGCCACAGGATAACTTTGCAACATGCAAGCTAAAATAAGAACATATTATAGATCGCAAGTGGACAAGCAAACGCGGACCGCCGACAAGCAGAGTGAGCACTATCATGAATATGGACCGCAACGAACGAGAGGGGCGTAGGGGTGGGGGTGCCACCAACAGTGTGAGGCGCGGCGGCGGCGGTTACCAACAAATTGCAGGGGGGCCTTTTGCACGGCATCGCCACCACGGGGTGGAGGGAGCAGGCACGGCGCAAGGAGGTGGCGAAATGGCTATTTCCTGCAAAAATGATTGAAAAAGAAAATATGATGCCTGTGAGGCGGCCTGCTGTGATGATGAGAGCAGCAAGTGCAGTAAGTACATGGCGTGCGATGGAAAGTGGAGCTATTTTACCGACGTAATTGGACTAGAACCAGAAAAGTGAGTCGCAGGGGACCTAGGCAAATGATTTAACACTCACCATTATTAAATGTTATCTTGCCCTTTCATTCTGAGTCATGTACCTTGTACTCGGGAATGAGGACGAGACCACAAAGCCGCCGCAAACGATACGAAACGCGTGACTGTGCATCACTCGTCGTTATGACAGTCAGGACCAGCTCACCCGTTCCCTGGAAAAGGAGTAGCGGCGGATTGGGGGGAGGGGGGGGGGAGGGCCGCCGTACGGGGAAGCAGAGCGCCGGGTGATGCTGCTGCGGCGCTTGGGCGCGGGTGGATGTGCGAGGCAGCCCGTCTGTTACGCAAATATACGTTTTTTAAACCGTCATCATTCCGACAGCAGCAACGGCAGCCGGCAACATCACAACTGCCACACGCCACGCGACGCCGCGCCGCCGCCGAGCTGCAAGCTGCAGCAGGGCTCTAGGAGTGCGGTGCGCGGTCGCTTGTTGTCGGAGTGTCGAGTCGAGCCGTCGAGCCTCCAGTCAGTCGTGCGAGGAATCAGTGCGATTAGTGTCACCGCCGTCGCGTCCCCGCCGCCGCGCCCCCCGCGCTCGCAGCGGGTGAGCCTCCCGGGGGGCGGCGCGGTGGAGGGGGAAACGCCCTGATCTGCACCAAGTCACGGAGGAGCACACTTCTAGGTTAGGTTGTGGACGTGTTGCACCACCACTGTAAATGCGGGGAAGACTTGTGTACAGTTCTCCCTGAATACTCTCTTGTACAAACTATTAGCCAGACTGAGACATCATCGTGTATCTGATCCGAGAATTCGTGTACCTACAAGAAGGCGCCAAAGAAGTCATGGACAAAAATCTTCCCTTGACTTTTAGCGCTGCTGCGTACAGTTGACTGAACAACCCGGTGACCCGCGAACTGCGCGCGGCCCGCATGGAAACACAACAACTCCATCACAACCACCTTGCCCGCCCGGCCTGGACAAACGCGCCCCTCAAGGACTCCGCAAACCTGTCTCTCTGACATTTATATACGCGCTCGCCGCTCGGCCGTGAGAACAAAAGGAAGGAAAAACAACTTACGGCGGGCAAAACGCGTAGTTGTCCATAAAATTTAGACGAAGATTCGCCTCGCACAG